TTACATTCTATGTTCTAGGTATTAATAATTTTATACACGCTATATTTTATTTATATCTTTATTTCATTCAATACATTCATTTCCTCCGCATTACATATTCCTCTATCTCTTCCCATCCTTATCCATTCTCAATCCTTGTTTTATCTATCCTTGCTACCTCCTGATTTTATTATCTTATTTGTATCCTGATTAATACATTTTTTTATCCTCCATTAATCCTACTTTTTATTTTTTTTTTTTTTTTTTTTTTCCGGCCTTGTACCTAAAATTATCTATACCTGAAAAAGAAAAATAATTGTTAGTTTCCCCCCGTCCCTGATCCCTCACCTACACCATTATCGTTACTTGTCTTCCTTCTTCGTTTTTTCCCTGCTTCTTTCCGGATTCTTCAGTCTTCATTGTCCCTTCGTCTTACCATATTTCTTCTTCCTCCTCTTCTTCTTCCCTCGGTCTGGCCCTATCCACATCCTGGGTGAATCCTTGTATCCCTTTCACCGTCAATTGGGGAATGTCTTCTTCGTCCAGAATTGCCTTTCTTAATCTCTTGAAACGCTTTTCCATTAGTCCCGGACATCTCATTAAGATGTGTTCTGCCGTCTCTATTGCATCCTCCTCGCAGAATTCACACCTTTCTTCCTGCAGTTCCCCCATCCTTGTTAGATGATGATTCAGGATAGCATGCTTTAGGATCTTATCGAAGTTCCACCCGGTCCAGTTGGTGACCACGCGTCCTTGGCCGCTGTCCCGTATGCTGCTCGTCATCGATGTCCTTTGTCCACGGAACGCTCCATGAACGCAGAGTCCCATTTCCTCTTCCTTTCTCCTTCTCGCCATCGCTTTCTTCCTAAAGCGAACACTGCTTCTGCTAGTGGTACTTGCCGAGGTACCCCTTCCGGTGGGGCCCTCTTAGAGCCTAGGTTTGCCAGTTTATCCGCTTGTTCATTTCCTGGAATACCTCTGTGGCCCGGCACCCAGCATAGTGTTAGTTTGTTACCCTTTGATGCCAGCTCGTTAAGATGCTCCTTACATCTCTTGGTAGTCAGTGAGGTATGCATGAGCTTTTGAATGCTCAATAACACCGCCTGACTATCTGTGAAGATTCTTATTTCCTTCTGTTTCGTGCCCCTGTCTATTAACAATTTTGCACATTTCATTATTGCAAACGCTTCTGCTTGAAATACCGTTACATTTTTTCCTAGACTGGCATAGTGTCTG